GTACGACTTTCTGCGCGAGAGCGCCCTCCGGCTTCGAGTATGAATGAAACATACACTGCACAGAGTGTTTAGCGCTCCGCGATGTTCATCTCGCCTTATTCTGGGTCCAAATAAAACATCAGATCATGCACAGACTATCCTGTCTCTTTGAATTTAAATCTATATTTATTCACACCGGCTCTTGAAAACCTCTATGCGAACACACTTGCCCGAAAAAGTGCGGGGGACAAATTTACGTGATATTAAAAATGTGGGGGACACGTCCCCCTCGTCCCCCGCGTAATCTACGCCCCTGCCCTACTGTATGTGCAACAATAATAGAAATGCTTTCCTGTGCAAATCCTTGCATTGAAACTAGATTTCATTCTTCTCACACTATCAAAAATATTTTTGATATATATAGGGTGGCCAAATGTGCCATTTATACGGGACACGTCCTGGCCATGATTTTTATATTGCCTAAAACATCCAAAGTAGTTTGACCAATAACATGCAGGTATTGTACATAATCGACCAATCGTGGCGCGTCGGCGTGAGAAGGTGAAAACGATCAAAGCAATGCAAATACGCGCACGATCGATCTGCACAGTGGTACCAGCCAAAAACTGGATATTTTAGGCAATATAGAAATTCTGGCAAGGGTGCGTCCCGTAAAAATGGCCCTTATGGTCACCCTGATATGGTATGATTTAACATTGCCTCAAATGAACTTGCATCAACCTGTAAGGAAGATTTTAAGGGGAAATAGCCAGACGGACAGTTACCTACAATACAGATTGAGAAGAAAAACCCTTCTTGGCATGCTTAACTTGTAAATTAGATCCATTAGCTCTTTAGAAAACGGTCCAGGATAGAGTTTTATTGTCAATATCTGTTGATGCAAACTGCAATTCAGTATATTATACGCTGAAAACTTACTGGACTTGTGTCAGTACTATACTTCAAAGTTCATTTGGCACAGTTTCCATAACTAAAAATATATTTTATTCTCGTTTCCTGTATGATGTAGCTTAATTGGAGCTTTTGAATGCTATTGAACCAGAATTGAACGAAGAATAACACTTCACAAAGACCACTGTCATTATTCTTTTGCATTTGACTCTCCTTAAAGTTGGGAAATGCAAGATATCATACAAGATAGAAATGTAAAACCAATATGAGAAAATCTCTCTTATTGTCGTAACTTTCATCAGTTTCCTCACTTTCTTTCCTCCGTTGCTCTTTGTGTCACCCGTGACGTCTGCTCCACGGATTCACCTGCTCTAATTCCTTAACGGGATTGCCGATTCCCGGGATATCCACTTAGACCCTGATTAGACGAGCTCAACTCATTAGCTCTGACAAACCAATTCAAACACCTCAACCCCAAAGCCAAAGAACAGCCCCCCTCATATCAACATTCACCAAACCACACCAATGACCCTTTTTAGAAACAACACATCAAGTGTTAACATCAAACAAATATGATAAACCAAGTATGAAATGCTTTAAATGCCCATATTACCCCAAAGTGGTTGTTAGAACCAATGCTGAGAACTTCATGATAAGATGTTCTTCAGGAATCAACCATATTTTTGTTCATGCCACACCCTGTCCATCCCTTCCTCTGTCCTCTGCTTTCTGCACTCACTCTTGCCTTGTCTTTCGACCCCATAACCTGATTTTCCATTCCAATCGGTTTACCTGTTGCTCGCCCTCCCCTTTCTCTCTCTGTCTTTCTCTCTGCCTCACCCTTTCTGTGCCCATCTTTGGGCTTATCCTTTCATCCCTGATCTCCTTCATCCCCTCCAATCCTCATCTATTCCTCTCTCGCAGACAGGGAAGAGAAAGAGAGAGTTTTTCCACAGGTAAGTTGCGTCCAGTCTGTTGGGGGAACCTGTGGGAGGATCGAGAGAGAGAGAGACTATTGAAGAGCTGTCTTGTGGACTACGCAAAATAGAGACTGATACAGAGAAAGAGACTTTGGAGTTATAGAGACGAAAATAAGCATTTTTGGGTAGAAAGGTGAGTTTGCTGTTAGTTTGGTCTTATTAGTTTGAATAAGAAAAAAGATGCACTGCAAATAGCGAACCAATGCAAACCTTGTGCATTACGATACGTTATATCCTTAAAATGCAGTTTTTTAAAATTTGGTATGCATGAAGAATGCACAGAAATGCATTGAATAATTGCTTTTTAATTGCAATTTAATTTTTATTTATTGTAATGCACTACATATTTCCTGGAAATAGTTTGACCACAGTGTCACAAAAGGTTAATCTGCAACTATTATAATGCTTAAAATGACATTGGGATGTTAATGTTGGTATTTCAACTATCAAAAAGTGCATCAAGCAAAAATTACGAGGAATTTGTGGTTGCGGTAACATTTTTCAGCTGTTATACTGGTGCATTCCTGTACACTGAAAAACATTGTGTAGAAACAATTCTTACTCAAAAATAATCACAAAGAAACTGCAAGTAATGTATTGAATTTAACATGAAATTTTGAAATAGAAAGCAGGGTTGTTATACAGTATTTTACTAAAACTGTAAAAAAAAAATATTTTCATTACTTGAAATAATGAAAAAAACAAACTTATTTCATTTCAGCTAAGCAAGGCAACATTTCTCATTTACATTTAGTTTAACTTGATGTGCTAAAATTAAACCTAAAACTGAAATAAAAATGAATAAAATTAACATGAAAACAGAAAATATAAAAGAAAATCTAATTTAAAACTAACAAAAACTATAATAGTATCTAAATGATACTGGTAAATAACACTGGTAGAAAGACTGATATATTTTCTTGTACACAGTACACTATAAAAAATGCTGTGTTAAATACAACCCAATTGCTGGGTTTGTCCATATTTGACCCAGCACTGGGTTGTATTTAACCCAGCATTTTTAGAGTGTAATCTTCAAACTTCAGGGAGAAAAAAAAAAGACATTTACAGTTTTGTTTTTGGTTTCTGAACAGATCATAATGTTGCAACTTGCAAAGTTTGCACATTTGGCTCTTTGCAGGATTAACCTACTCTTGAACAAGTAATCAACAGATTTTAGAAGTTTTGAGATTCATCAGGTCTCATTTAATCTTGTACCATTTACAATCCATATGGAAGATAACAGCTGGCATCCTCAAGGCATACATCTTTTCTTCCTCTTTTTCCTTGTGTTTTGTCTTTGATCTTCCCACCCCAGGTCCCACCTGATCCTGTAGTAAAGAGCAGTCAGTAATCGGATAACAGGAGATTTGATAAGCCACCCCCAACAGCTCCTGCAGGGGCTTAGACCTTTCTTCTAGCCCTCCTCGTCATCAATAAAACAACAGCTCTCATCACGAGCTGAACACACAGAGTAATCTTCTAACACAGAATTTGACCATCAACAGCACAATGCCAGACTCAGTTTCTAGCACTTAACCATCAGTTAAGTTCATTATGATGTCTGTAGCACGACAAGGCTAACAATTCCTCATCATCTCCTCTGGTCTCCCACTGAGAGGTAGATTCATATGGCGGCATATACTATAAAATATTTTTATAGTAAGTTGTGACTTAGAAGATTTACATCTGAAGAAAACATTTGAAATCTTTTGTTTTAAAGGGGTCATAAGATCCGATTTAAATTTTTCCTTTCTCTTTGGAGTGTTACAAGCTCTTGGTGCGTAAAGAAGATCTGTAAAGTTGCAAAGACTAAAGTCTCAAATCCAAAGAGATATTCTTTATAAAAGTTAAAAGTCAGCCACGCCTACCTGAAACGGCTCGTTCTAACACGCCCCAACATACCTACGTCACGATGTGGGAAGATTTGCATAACGCCTCCCAAATGTTCACACAAAGAAAGAAGGCGTAACTATCTAATTACAAATCTTAGGCGTTTAATTGGATGTTAGCCTATGTTTACCATGTTTAGGGGGAAGGCTTGATTTCAGTTCCACATGTCTTATTTTACAGTTTTGCACTTTTTTTTTATTTGCCTTGTTTCACATCTATTTTATTTTATAATATAAAGGAAATGCTTGAATGGGACTGTTTTGGTTTTGAAGGATCGATTTATCAGTTTGGTGCTAGTTTTTGAATTTTGATTTTTTATTTTTTTTTTGAAATGACCCCTTTAATCTAATTACAAATCTTAGGCGTTTCATTGGATGTTAGCCTATGTTTACCATGTTTAGGGGGAAGGCTTGATTTCAGTTCCACATGTCTTATTCTACAGTTTTGCACTTTTTTTTTATTTGCCTTGTTTCACATCTATTTTATTTTATAATATAAAGGAAATGCTTGAATGGGACTGTTTTGGTTTTGAAGGATCGATTTATCAGTTTGGTGCTAGTTTTTGAATTTTGATTTTTTATTTTTTTTTTGAATATCAATATTAGAATTTTAAATAACGGATTCACAGTATCATTAGCATTTGCTAGCTATAGCATTACTGAACTCATGCTGAACTCATAAATGACTGACAATATTGTTGTTGACTTGAATTTTTTGAGTGCAAATCTGTATTCAGTGTTACTGTCTACCAAGCAGGTAAAAATAACTTGTCCAAGGAGATGTTTTACGACTAGCTGGGAGGTTTTGCATCAAATCAAAGTCAGGTTTCAATATTTGTCAATACTAATTCAAATCATAAGCCTTCGATATTATTAAATCATTTCCACATTTTTGATGCTGTAATCAGGGTTGCCAGGTCTCTGGAACAAAACCACCTCAATTGCTACCCAAAAATAGCTCAGAATACTAGTCCAACTGTGTTTTGTTTGTTTGTTTGTGTGTGTGTGTGTGTGGTTTTCCCTTCAAAAAAACAACCCGCATCAAAAAAGCACAACCCGCAGCAACAGTGTAAAGGTATCCCAATTCTGTGGGATAACTATGAACTTGGCAACACTGGCTGTACACAAGGCCTAGCTCAGGGATTAATCTTAGTAATATGACTTATTTATTATTGACTTTTATTTGATAATATAAGACCTTTAGAATATTTTATTTTCATTTCATTTCATTTTATTTGATTATTTTTTATTTATTTTCTTTCAGCTTGTGTTGGTAAGAACCCTAATCAACAGCAGCCATGGGTGAAATAGAGCAGATGAAAAAAGAGGCCGAAGCCCTGAAAACACAGATCGAGGTGAGACTGCTGTAACGTTTTTTTTTTTTTTTGTACTTTCACAATGAAACAGTTGAAGAACATGGATATAAGATCTTTCCTAATGCAAAGTGCGAATGAAAATGCAAATGAATCTCTAGCTGTACAATTTCTATTTATACAATTCATAATAAAATGCTACGATAAAATATTTGTTTCCCTACTAGGCGGCTCGTAAAGCAGTGCATGACACAGACATGGCCTCCGCCGCTTCTGGGGTGGCTCCGGCCCCTCGGGTCCAACTCAAGACCAGGAGGACCCTCAAAGGCCATCTGGCCAAAATCTATGCCATGCACTGGAGTACAGACAATAGGTGAGAACATCATATCAAATCATTAGGTATGCTGGGTTATACTGCACTGAAGTATTTGGAAATATTTTAAAAGAATAAAAAATTACTTAACTGACAGAAAGGGATATATATTGGTTTACCTGTAGCTCTTTGCCGTCACGTGATCTGCTCAAGCAGCTCTCACATGGAAGTCAACTGCACCTTGCGGTCACCTTGAATTAGCTAATTCTTAGTTAGATCAATTATCAGGGTCAGTGGCCTGAAACAGACTTAAGCTTCAATGTATTCAAGAAAGTGCATTGACATCAAAAACGAATAGCTCCAAAAAGCATTTATATATTTTTTGGAATCCATTAGAAATACAATAATTTAGAAAAATACACTAGTTACATTTTTGTAAAAGTCCAAAAAAATCTAAATAAATTGAACTAGCTTACACAGGTTGTGAAGGCTGCTAACACAACTTTTGCAAACCAAATATGCATAATAAATATATATAAATAAATGCACTAACGGCAGTTGTCTCTAAAGTTTTGTGTACATCAGTATGTTTGTCAGATTTCAAAATTAAGGCGTGGAATATATGAAATGGTACATCCTGTTGTCTTACCAGCCTTTCTTTGCTCTTTCTTTCATTGGTGTCTTTAGGCTAATGGTCAGTGCATCACAGGATGGCAAACTTCTCATCTGGGATTCTCACTCTGGAAATAAGGTGAGTCCGCCTGACTCAAATATACTTTCAAGAAAAAATGGGAATTGTATATAAATATATTTAGTCAGTTAAATGTCAGTTGGGTATCTATTAATATTTTGCGGTATACAACTGTTGCCTACTCTTTTGTTCTCAGATTAAAAAATAAATGTTGCCTATTTTAAGCTGCTAGAATGGCATATTTGATTTTTCGTTTTTCAGATATGCCTCAGACTTCGAACAATACACAGAAACTGTAACTAAGTTAACTTTACACATTTAAAATATTTTTGCATTATGTTAGGATAAAAATATATTTTATTAAACAAAGATATTTTATTTAAAGAAGAAGTCTACAGTTTTTGTTGTGGACATACACTCTAAAAAATGCTGGGTTAAATACAATCCAGTGCTGGGTAAAATAGGGACAAACCCAGCAATTGGGTTGTTTTGACCCAGCGGTTGGGTTAGGTTGTATTTAACCCAGCATTTTTTAGAGTGTAACACGTTTATAATTCCACCTATAGTATGCAATTTTGCATGGTTAGTGAATGAAACCCACTCAGAATATTGATTTGTTTTCGACAGGACTGTCTGTTTAAGCGACAAACGCTTGAAAACATCTTCGAAAACCGTGATTATTATGCAGTTACATTTAGCCTATAGTGCAGAGATGACACTACCTTTAACTTTAAATCAGAATCTCTTCAAGGAAAAGTTATAATATTTGCCTCTTTCTTTAGGTCAATGCTGTTCCCCTCAAGTCCTCATGGGTGATGACCTGTGCATATGCTCCTTCTGGAAACCTTGTGGCCAGCGGTGGTCTCGACAACATGTGCACTGTCTACAACTTGAAGACACCTGTAATCAAGACGGTGAAAGAATTGGATGCTCACACAGGTATGTAAGTACAGAAGTCAGGCAAGACACTTTACTTTCTTATATACTTGTTAGTAAGTGTCAGTTATGTTATCTTTTTTTCATAGGTTACTTGTCCTGTGCACGCTTCCTCAGTGACACGGAGGTTCTAACCGCCTCTGGTGATACCACATGGTTTGTGCATGTAGCATTTACATTTAAAGGGACAGTTCACCCAATTACTATAGTATATTACTAGAATCTTTTTCAAGTGTTTTTACACTTCTTCTTTTTATAGTGTTCTTACAAGTCTCCTTTCATTGTAATTCCACGGAAACAGAAGGCAACTGCATTGTACAAAATGTTGTGTTCTTCTGGAAACCTTGTGGCCAGCGGTGGTCTCGACAACATGTGCACTGTCTACAACTTGAAGACACCTGTAATCAAGACGGTGAAAGAATTGGATGCTCACACAGGTATGTAAGTACAGAAGTCAGGCAAGACACTTTACTTTCTTATATACTTGTTAGTAAGTGTCAGTTATGTTATCTTTTTTTCATAGGTTACTTGTCCTGTGCACGCTTCCTCAGTGACACGGAGGTTCTAACCGCCTCTGGTGATACCACATGGTTTGTGCATGTAGCATTTACATTTAAAGGGACAGTTCACCCAATTACTATAGTATATTACTAGAATCTTTTTCAAGTGTTTTTACACTTCTTCTTTTTATAGTGTTCTTACAAGTCTCCTTTCATTGTAATTCCACGGAAACAGAAGGCAACTGCATTGTACAAAATGTTGTGTTTCATGGAAAATATGAGTTTTGAAATGACATGAGGGTGAATAACTGATGACAGAATTTTATTTTTTTGGCGAACTATCGATTTTCAGAACTGAATCGCGAAAATTGTAGCAGCTAGAAATTGAAATAAATGAAAAATAGTTACAATATGGCTATGTTCTCAATATACCATACTATTATAGCTTGCATGCTATATTTGCCAAACCATGCACTATACAAAAGAACACACAGCATGTCCCACAATGCAAAGAAGCAAATCTTCAATTGTGATATAAGCAGCAGAAACAATATTTTTTATATTTATCTTTTTCCTTTTTTATCACTTTCTGTACTCATTATTTGTTCAAAAAACAAATAAAAAAGAGACAATATTAGATTAAAATGCAAAAATAACTGGATGCTACTCATATGCAAATTGACCTTTTTCCTTTTTTATCACTTTCTGTACTCATTATTTGTTCAAAAAACAAATAAAAAAGAGACAATATTGGATTAAAATGCAAAAATAACTGGATGCTACTCATATGCAAATTGAACATCACATGTTTATAATGTGTATCAGGGAATAATGCCTACTATTTCACTTTCTATTTTTAAAAAGCAGTAGGCCATACAATGCACTGCAACTTTCATTCAGCCAAGCAACTGATTAAAATATCCATTAAAAACCAGCTACAACTTCGTTAAATTGTGCCATTCTCATCTAACAAAGTCTAATTAGGCTATAAATATAGCAAGCATTGCCACTTTTGCTGATAGGTAAGATTAAAGCTTTTTCACAATGCTTTGCAGCTTGTTGAGGAGAGTTGTGCTTTTACTTTATAATACGTTATTCAGCCTGACAATGGATAAAAATCCCATAAACAGTCATTAAGGGCATCACCACTTTTTTTGTTACAGTTTTGTTTATTTCCCTCCCATTTTTCTTCAAGTGCATTGTGGGATTTGGAGACTGGAAAGCAGAAGACGGTTTTCCTGAACCATGTTGGTGACTGCATGTGTCTGTCTCTGTCTCCGGACATGAACTCCTTTGTTTCCGGTGCTTGCGACTCTCTGGCCAAGCTGTGGGACATCAGAGACGGCCAGTGCAAGCAAACCTTCCTGGGTCACACGAGTGACATCAACGCCATTTCAGTGAGTTGAACATGAAATGTTTGATGCAGTACCGGGAAAATTCAGAAGAGGGCATCACAGTTATTTTTTGGCTTCCTCATTAATGAAGCCAACTTTATAACAGTTTCAAAGATTTGAGTCTTTCCCATTAAATTTAAGAACAAAGCACATAAATGGAAACCAAATGGATTCACCAAACTTCCTCTTTCTTCAGTTCTACCCTGGTGGCAATGCAATTATCACCGGCTCTGATGACTGCACATGCAAAATGTATGATCTTCGTGCCGATCAAGAAGTGATCAGCTACCAGGATGCTGCCCTGAACAGCGGCGTAACATCACTGGCTCTATCCATGTCTGGCCGCCTCATCTTTGCTGGCTACGACGACTTCAACTGCAATATTTGGGACTCGCTAAAGGGCGAGAAAGTGGGTAAGTTGCAAGAAAGGAGTCGCAGATGGAGTGAATCATTAATGCTGATTAAGCAGGAACAAAGTCCATTTGAAGCATGTCAAATCACTCGACAGCCGTCTTGGCAACTCCACCAAACAGCTGTTTTCTATGTAGCCAATTTCTGAGTATTAAAACACTCTTCTGGCATGGATGTGAGATTTGTTGGTGTTAGTTGAGGAAGTCTTCTACTTACAGGAACAGTTCGTTCAAAAATGAAAATTTTGCTGAAAATGTACTCACCCTCAGGCCGTCCAAGATATAGTTTGTTTTTCATCACAATAGATTTGGAGAAATTTAGCATCACTTGCTCACCAGTGGATCCTCTGCAGTGAATGGCTGCCGTCAGAGCCCAAACAGCTGATAAAAACATCACAACAATACACAAGTAATCCACACCACTCCAGTCCATTAATTAACGTCTTGTGAAGTGGAAATCTGTGTGTTTGTAATAAAATTTAAAAAATCCATCATCAAGTATTGCTTGCTTCGATGAAAAAGTAATCTTGTCTGAATCAGGAGAGAAATATGCACAGATCAAGCACTGTACAAGCGAAAACAGTCCTAAACAGCTCTAAATAAATATGCGTGTGGATTTTGATGTGAGAGGACAACAGGAGGACAACATTTAAAGATAAAATACCTTGATGGCTTTGTCACTTACAAACACTTCACAAGACATGAATTGATGGACTGGAGTCGTGTGAATTACTAGTGGATTATAATGACGTTTTTATGAGCCGTTTGGTTTCTCATTTTGACGGCACCCATTCACTGCAGAGGATCCATTGGTGAGCAAGTGATGTAATGCTACATTTCTTTAAAAAAATTGAACTTTGTAATATTTAATCAAAATGTCATAACTGGATTGTTTCAGTTGTCATTACATTCAGCTGTTCGTCACTATAATACAAAAGATCAGTCTCTACTTCCATTTCATCGCAAATTAAATAAACGTGCATGAAGAATAAAATCCTGTCAGATTCATATTCTCACTCACTTCCTTCCTTCCTTTCTCTCCTGTAGGTGTGTTGTCTGGCCATGACAACAGGGTGAGCTGCACCGGAGTACCACCAGATGGCATGTGTGTTTGCACTGGCTCATGGGACAGCTTCTTGAAGATTTGGAACTGAGTTGGACCCTGAAAGAAGATGAGATGGGAATGAGAATGAGAATGAGAATGAGAATGAGAATGAGATTGAGAATGAGAATGAGAATGAGAATGAGAATGAGATTGAGACTGAGAATGAGAAAGGTTGAGAGAGAGAATGAGAAATTATCGATTTCTGAGCAACAAAGAATCTCACACACACACACACACACACACACACAAACAAACACATAAAGGTCCACCTGTATGTGTGGGATTTCTGGAAGACTGGACTTCATTAGAATATATAATATGCAATATTTAAATGTAAACATGTAAATTGCAACTAACACAGGATTGCGTTATCATAACATGACAATCTCATGACAACGATACTTCGACTTGAAATTATGATTTCGACAGCATAATCATTTAAGAATTTAAAATATAGTATTACATATTTTTTTTTCCATTAAAAATCCTTATCATTAGATGAAAGTTTGGATGAATATTTTTATTTATTAGAAATGACGATAGAATGCAGAAGAAATTGTACAATGACTTTTCCCAAAAACCACACTGTCTGTCTGAGATCTGATATTATGGCTCTTTGATGATGTTGGCATACAGATGCATTTTAATTTTAATGAACAAACGTCCTAAAGCCCTTAAAATAACATGTTATGCTAAAAGATAAAATGTCTGTATTTACTTCTTTCATCTTTTTGTAGGACTTTTACATACAAGACAGTTCCTCTTTAATATTTCAGTGGTTACTTGAATAACTTTCTAATAAACATAGTGTTCTGCATTAAACTATATTTTAATGTGTTCTGTGTGTATCTGTTAAGTTGTGTGTTTTATAATTGTAGGGCATTTGAAATAATATCATTTGAAAATGTTGATCTTTGAACTGTTACTTTTTTTTTTAAATAATTAATTTATGAGAGAAAGAAATATTATTGGGGAAATAATCTAATCTCTGAAAGGCAAATTAGGTCACAAAACTGTGCTTTTGGAAATGTTAACAGCAGAATACCTTTATAATAGGAAGAAAGCAAGAAGTTTAAAGGGGTCATATGATGTTGCTAAAAAGAACAGTATTTTGTGTATTTGGTGTAATGAAACGTGTTTATGCGGTTTAAGGTTCTAGAGTCCTTCAATGCAGCTTATATAGTAAACAGATTTCAAGAAATTTGACTGCTCAGTATTCCTACAGTCTAGCTTATGAAGATTAATTATTGTTATTAAATAAGCTTACGTTCCATTATGTTTATTTCCCTGCGAAAGCTGAGTGCTTGAACGTTAATTAGATTGGGCTGACGTTCCTTCAATGAAGAAGCCTTACCTCATGAATATTAATTAGAACGTCATGACGTTTCTTGCAATCTTCCAATGCCAAAGCGCTTCCTCCTGAATATTAACAACCTAGCCTTCTCCGTAGTAGGAATCGTAAGTTGTTTAACGGGAGCGATTACATAGTATACTGCAGTCGTTGTGTTTGGTTCGCTCGATTTGTCGCGCAAAAATGTCCTCAAGAAAATTCTTCGTCGGAGGAAACTGGAAAATGAACGGCGATAAAGAGAGTTTGGGCGAGCTCATAATGACCTTGAACACGGCCAGTCTCAACGATGAAACAGGTCCATGGCGTTCATTTGATTTTACGTTGTTTACCTGAAAGAATATTAAGCAGAAAGTTTTCCATTTTTCAATTTCACAGATTAGTCGGATGTATTTAGCATATATAGCTAATCGACAGAGTTGTTTAGAAGCACCAGAGACGGTTTGCTACACGACATCACGTGACACTTTAAATTGCTGGAGGGTCGTGTGGACATGACTTGCATGTTTGAACTGCTTTTACATAAAAATAACGTTAAAACTTCAAATATAAAACTAGCTTATTTTGTTATACAGTTTATTTTATTGCATGTCATTACAGTCACGTATTATTTTTCACAAGAAACAGACATTTTCAAGCTTCATTATTAATTTATAATTTTTGGTCCTACATATTCTATATTTGTCCTGTCCCATATATTCTATATTTGTCACGTATGCCTAAAAAATACATAAAAATACAACGTACTAGCTAAACAAGTAGCCACATGATATTTGCCCTATCCCATATTTGTCTCGTATGCACATAATTAATTGTTAGCCAAATTATTGGTTCCCATTCTACCTGGGGGAAAAAAATCGAATAAATTCAGAAGAAATAAATAAAGAATATTTCACACACAAAAAAATATTATTAATATAGTCATTTTTCATAAGAAATACATATATTTCTGCACAGGCCTGCTGTAGAAAGCTTTATAATTCATTTACAATTTGTGGTTCTATAGACTCTGTATTTGTCTTACCATACATCCCATATTTGTCCCATACGCATAAAAAATGCATGAAAAATATAACTAGTTTTTAGGTAAATAATTGTTAGCTAAATTATATTTGCCCTATCCCAATTTTTGTCCCATATGCATAAAATAATTGTTAGCCAAATTATTTGTTCCCATTCAGAGATAGTCACTAACAATAACATTTCACACACACACAAAAAATGATTTACAATTTCTGGTCCTACAGACTCTATCCCATATGCATAAAAAATGTTCGCCAAATAATTTGCTATGGGGAGAAAAAAAAAAAAGTAAAATTAAAAGTAATTGCTACTTTTTTCCCCTCACAATTCTGACAGTTTTCTTGCAATTGACAATTCCGTTCATATCTGATTTCCAATTTCTTTTAGACTTCGCTGTAAATTCACAATGGCGAGAAGAAAAAGTTGAGATTAAAAAGTGCAAGATAGAAAGTTTCTAAATTCGATGGCAGAAACTAAAAAACAGAATTGCGAGATGAAAACTCAGAATTCAGGGGGGGAGCTGGAATTGCAAGATTATAATTGCACAGAAACAGAATTGCAAGTTTTTTTTTTTTTTATTCCGTGGCAGAAACAGGCTTCCATAATTTGTTTCCATTCTACCTAGAGAAAATGAGAGGCAGTAAAAATAACAATAATAATAATAAAAAAAACTGATATGAGGGTGAGTAAATGATGACAGATGTTTCGTTTTGGGATGAACTATTTATTTAAAAGTGGTCTTGCTGGTTTTCATAATCATATATCATCATAACAGTGGTTTTGTCTTCATTGTTTAGAGGTGGTGTGTGGAGCACCGTCCATCTATCTTGATTTCGTGAGGTCTAAGCTGGACCAGAGGATCGGTGTGGCCGCCCAGAACTGCTATAAGGTACCCAAAGGAGCCTTCACCGGGGAGATCAGGTATATGTCTCATTGGTATCTTTTATAGTTTTTATGAACAACCATTTATCACTGTCAAAACTCTAAAAACCATATTTCACGTTCTCTCCTTTTCTTCGCCGCTTTAGCCCAGCGATGATTAAAGACTGCGGCATCGACTGGGTGATTCTGGGCCATTCTGAGAGGCGTCACGTGTTTGGCGAGAGCGATGAGGTATTTTAATAGGAATCCAAGCCCTTATATCTCTTTGCTTTTCAGTATGATGAAATTCAGGCCTCGTGTTGATGCATATTTGTGCTATTCTGCATTCAGCTCTGTTTCACTCTGATTGGCTGTGATGTCCTTTGCAGCTGATTGGCCAGAAGGTGGCCCATTGCCTAGAGAGCGATTTGGGTGTGATCGCCTGCATTGGGGAGAAACTAGAGGAGAGAGAAGCTGGAACCACTGAGGACGTGGTGTTTGAACAGACCAAAGTCATTGCAGGTCATTTGAAAACACAAATCTGATATCAAATATGTGATTTTAAGATTGTGGATTGTCAACAAATATGCTAAGATGGCCTATTTGGCAGATTTATTTTGATGCTTTATATGAAATGCTCGTGTGCCGAACGTGAGTTTTCAAACAGTTACATTTTTTTTGTTCTAGGACCCTGTTCATGCATGTGAAACACTTAAAGCCTTGATACATTTCTATATTTTATAGACAATGTGAAGGACTGGACTCGTGTGGTTTTAGCGTATGAACCAGTGTGGGCCATTGGCACTGGAAAAACTGCCACTCCTGGTCAGGTAAATCTGTATTCATACTGTCCATCAATCATATCATGTTTCATCTCCATTATCATGTTTGATTGCTCTCATTTCATATTTATGCAATGCATATGCACCAAAGCGTGAATAATAATATGCTTAATGATATGCTTTTACATTATACTGTAGTTTAAAGTCATTGGGCCTCATTCATGAAACATTCGTAAATATATGAGTGAATTCTGAGTAATTTACGCGTAAAACGGACCTTCCCGAAAACTCTGCTCCGGATTCACAAATACTTCGTAAAGATCAGATTTGATAGTTAAATGTGTGCATGTTAATGAGTTCCAATCATTCGTAAATAGGGCTCGCGTGCACGCTCATTCACAGCTACGCAAATTACGTATCTAGGAATGGTGCTTTGGACGCACTGCATTTTTCTGACGCGTTGTTTACATGTAACATGTTACGAGTTTCTTAATTTGAAGAATATTACTGAATATACAAATGCGGTAACCAGCAATATTAACTTTCTATTGTTGTGTTGTACAAGTATGATCATGGTTGGTCAATGTAATATTTGTCCCGCCCCTCCTCCACTGTGATTGGACGACCGTGTAAAAGGGGCAGTGACGAGCTCTGCGTTTTACCCAAAGTTATAGAGTAAAAAACGAAAAAAAGACAGTGCAAATTAACTCGTTAAATATCATTCTGATACATAGTTCATAAAAATGCAGTTTCATCAGTTTGTCTAAAAGAATACAGAACGTTTGAATGTTTTATGCACCATTTACACATGGTAGGGAGCAGGTGTACATTTCTTTCGTACCAACTAACATTTTCCAAATACGAACATTTTCATGAATCTGAAAATTTACGTCAGAACGACTTTCCGAATGATTTACACAAAAAATCGTTCCGCTCGTGTTTCATGAATGAGGCCCATTCTGTTTATGATCATGTACTTTATTTGGTGTTGCTCTAAACTCTTAAAAATAAAGGGTCTTTATTGGCATTGATGGTTCCATGGAACCTTTCCATTCCACAAAAGTTTCTTTTTTTCAGATCATTAAAATGTTTTACACTAA